TTCCAATATTTGGAAGAAGAATGTTTTCAAGATGACTTGGATAATAGCGCGTTGTGACAAACACCAGATACAGCACTGGGACTTGATCAACAGCCGATACCGCACCGTGACGTCACAAACCAGTAGGTGGCAGTAGTGTTCCTAGACAAAAATGGATGCCTCCAGTAAAGCACATTCACATGAAAATTACTCTTAATTAAAACACTGAATCTTTAATTGAACAGGATGTAATGATTTCATATTTAACGTACTTTCAGGAGTCTGAATTCTGAATGTGACCAAAGTTCTCCTTTAAACACCTAAATTTATTTAGGAATAACAGGGTGAGTGGTGTTAGTGTTTGAATAAAAAAAGAATAAAATAGTTCCACATTAATGTATAAAGTAATATTTCTGTTATATCATATATCATTGATTTAGTTTCCGCAGTTGACCTCTCTTTATGGAACACAGTTCAAGCAAGTGTGTAATCATTTGTTAAACACATTTCCCAAATTAAAGATATTGTAAACACACCAAAAGTTAATTTATTGTTTCTGCAATAAATACTTTTTGTCACTTGTTTGTTGTTTTTTGTTGTTTGTATTTTTTTTTTTTCTTGGATTAAGGTGCACTTTTAGTAAAAAAATAAATTATTAAAATCCGGTTATAAATGTTCAAGTTATCACAGGAAGACAAATAGAGAACAACTCCCCTAAAAACTTAACCTCCTTGGCGGAGGTGAAGAGGGAAGAATGTTTTACTGCTGTGCGCGCTCCCTTTGCGCGCCCTCGGATCTGCCACATTCTAATGCTTTAACTTGAAGGAGCGAGTTTAAATATACAAATATCTTCATTAAGCTTCAGTTCATTAAAGAATAGCTAATGCAATTTTCAACAAACATGTTACTTCCTGGATTATATATATTTTGATTTCGTGGGTTATTTTCCCTTCTCAACTCTGATTTGGATTGGTGTCCCAAAAAATCCGAACTGCCCTTGAACGCACCAGTAATCAAGCTAACGTTTGTTAGCTTTTCCCTTTACTGTGGTGTTATGAGTTGAGCAAGACTTAAGCCAGGTAAGGCCAGTTATTACACAAACCATGTCGCCTTTAAACATATTTACCACAAAGCGGATGTTTTTCCATGCATTTAAATCAGATAACAGGATTTCGGTGTGTTTATATTCCTCATTAATATCATTCAATTGAGGAAGTTATTTATGTCGCAGCTAATGCTAACCAGCTAGCTTCCTGATAACTATCAGCCTCTGGTTAAAAAACAAACAGAAAACTAAAGGCAGGATTTAAATATTAGTGTTTAGCGCTGAGCTTGGAGTTTTCATTTATGTTTAAAAATGTGTCTTGGTCGTTTAGATTGCAGTTAAACAACAGCAGGTAAACATGGTATAAAGTTTTATATCTTCTGTAGAAAATTACTTCCACTTTAAATTCTGAAATCAGGTAGAAAGATGGCAACATCAAATATAGCATGGTTTGGTTAGAGGAAAAGTCCGATCATATTCAGAACTGAAACTTCTTAAAGTACTTTAAAAATGAAACTATACCAAACTGTTCAATAAATGATCANAGATGTAGGTCTGATTCAGCGGGTGGCGGTGATGCAGCAGCAGCAGCAGCAGGAGGACGCGGTGCATCGTGATCACAGCCGATGGAGGAGCGTCCTTCAGCCTGTGAGTCACGGTGCCTCTTAGCTGCTTCTTTATCACCACCATCATCATCATCATCCAAACGTCCATGGGCTGAACGCTCTGCACGTTTACAGCATTTTTTTTAAGCTGCGACCAGAATCCGCCTTTTCTCATCAATCTGTTTCCCTCCTTCCTGTGATCTGGGCGTCTAATGAATGAAAATGGCCTTACCTCCTGTTTGCAATCCGGGAATGATGCTATAATCCTGTTTGGTTTAATTTCATCCTATGATTTCCGCTCTGCTAACATCCACCGATGAAAAGATGAAATTATATATAAAGCTGCTCAGAAACACAGATTTATCTTTGTGTCGTTTTTCCTCTAAATGATGGAGCTGGGAGTCAGGGGCGGTCACGTGACAAGTGGTCCTTTTTTTTTACGCCCCTACTCCCCCCCTCCCTCTCCTGCGTGGTACACGGCGGACAGACCGCGCGCCAGGACCTGCTGGGAAAGAGGCGGGATTTTCTGTAGACCGAAATGACCAATCAGAAAGCAGGAATGTTTGCCCAAACCCCGCCCTCTTACAAATTTCATCCAAATCCCTTATTTCAATAGTCCGCCCTGATTGGCTGCCTCTTGGGATCTACTTCCTTATCAGCCGTGAGACGCCATTTGTAAAATTACAATGGCAAAAACACTGATTTTTATTTATTTATTATCATTTCACTTAAAGTCAACAATACCGTATACAATATATAAACAAATAAACATTCCAGGGGGGTATATTAATATATTCATAATAAT